GCACAGGGTTAACACATTAGGTCTGTCATCAAATAAATGCCATTAAAATAATCTTATACACTGTGGTCTTTCTAATTTCCTTACACTATGCACAGTCTTTTGAAAGATTTTGGTAATTCACATCTTTTGAACTGGAGCAACTTTTTTTTTTTCTACACAGCCTTACCAAATGGTTTGAAGTTACTAGTGTATCTTTAAAGAGTATATATATATATATATATGAGTTTTTTGTAATGGTGTTAGTGGTAAAATACGATGGCATATTCCTATGTTTCTGAGTAATCACAAGGAATTTAACTTGGAATAATGAAATGGACATGATGATGATCATGAAGAAGAGGAAATAGAAGAAAAAATACCTATATCCTTATATCTTTCTATCTATATAGATAGATAGAAACAGATAGCTAGATTGATCAACAGACACATAGATATAGATAAAGATATATAAGATAAATCACTTTGCTAACACAAAGTTATATTTGAACTGTGGGTCTTCAGTCACTCTTCAATTATACCTTTCTTCCAAAAACACAAAAGAAAAAGACACCAACAAAATAATAATTGATAACCAAGAACACAAATTTTCATTGTGACCCAAGACGAGAGATAACGACAAAACCCTAATGCACAAGGACAGAGAACCCTCCTACGGCTGTGGCTGAGACTGGCATCGAGGGCGTATACCGCCGAGGAAGACAAGAGCAGAGGAGACGAGGTGAGGGAGGAACTTAACCATACACCTTTAGGAGAGGGTGTGGGGGGTTAGTCCTCCAGACTGAAGTCACTGTCTTCATCCTCCTTCATGATGGAGGGTCCCTTGATGGTGACTCCAGGAGGGATCAGGGTCTTGTCGATGAGCATTCCGTGTCTGTTAGGGGAGAGGATGATGGCTATGCTGTAAACAGAGGCTGATTGGTTTCTGTTTGGGCCTATGTGCAACAGTCTACAGTGATGAGATATCTGAATGGAATCTCCATACATGATTTCATATGTATTGTCTCTATACAAGTAGACAATATGTACTAACCACATACCTGTCTACAGATAAAGATTCTATGTGTAGATATAGCTACATTCTCAATACACTGACACTCACTGATACACACCGATATACTTAAACACACACACTGATACAAGTTGATATATACAGCAACACACAAATAGACATAAAAAAAGAAAAACTGATATCTGTTCTATCAAAAAGGAAAAAGTTCTACTACTTACTCTATGAGGAATGATTCCACATCAGTTGCATAAAAGTCTTCACCAAATTCATCTGTGAGGCGGACAAAGTTGCCCACCATTTGTCCACTTTTGTAGATCAGCAGTGCTGGTAGACCCGTCACTTTCTGGAAATTGAACAATATCTTTGCATTTTCTTTCTTTCTTCTTATCCAAACTCTGAATGCCAATGCCAGAACAGTTCTAACTCTGTAACATCTCTATGTATGTACATGCATGTATTAAATATGACATGAGTTCAAGTCAACAATAAAAGAATATACAATAAAGACCATAATAACATTGCCGACAGACTGGATGCACAACTTACAAAGCGACTGCTGACACCTGCTGCTGTTGCATGTAATCTGCAGAATTTGACATGTGGATACTCCAGAGCCAAGCAAGCCAGGCAACCATTCATGGCCTCACATCCTGCAGCTTCCTACAAGATAAAATAATGATAATAATAATAATATATTAAAAAGATTATAAACTAGTCTCTGAAGTGGTAATGAAGTATAGTTAAGGTTGTATAGCATTTGCAACGTTAAACTCAAGAAACATACTTCATAAGGATAATCCCAAATAACATCTGTTATGAGAAGTAACACTGGAACTTCTAACAAATCCTAAATCATGAAAGGCTAAGAAACTTACTACATCCAGGATAAACTGTACATTGGACACACTTTGTGAGAAACAAAAATTAAAAATCACCGAAATTGAAAAGACACAACAACTTACTTCCTCATATATGTGAACAATTATTGTGACATCCTTGTCCTCTTTGTCAATGGCATCAAGGAATGAGTCTCCGTTATCGAGTGCAATCAGCGTACCGAACTGGGCCCTGTGGATGAAAGACTGGGTCAAAACACCAATTCTTCATGCATGAAGGCAGTTATAGCACTTCTGTCTCATTCACTCGGTCAATCCCCATTTTCTTATCATTGTGTGTGAAAGTTAGAAGAGTTTCAAAATGACTTATGAGTCATAATATAGTCTGGCAGATGAGGTCTTAAAGTTTGAATAAAAAAAAAAAAAAAAACATCTATCCACTATGGAGTTCCTCAAAGATTTCAAATAACTATATTTAATTCATAGCATCATATTAGCAATTAATGAAGCATCATTTCTGTCATGATCATTTGCTACATATTTGTACTCTCCTTTTCTTATTACAATCAGTATCAACTACATTTTCTTTGTGAAAATTCCTCATTGGATTCACTGTCATTAACCAAAATGATATTGTAGAAGCAATTGGTCATAA